TGTTTATCTACAAGTTCAAGAGTATTTACAAGAATTTAACTTGCACAACGACTTTCAATCGGGTTTTCGTAAGGGTCATAGCACGACAACAGCGCTTATTAAGATTACAGATGATATTAGGTATGCTTGCGACAAACGTTGTGTTACCATCCTTGTATTACTTGATTTTAGCAAGGCGTTCGATTCGGTTGATCACGATCTTTTGTTGGCGTCACTAGCTGCCCTTGGATTTACCTCTTCATGTTTATCTTGGTTTCAATCTTACTTTTCCTGTCGTTCCTTGTGTGTGCGTGCTGATTCTGCGCTCTCGTCTGCTTGTGATATTAAATGTGGTGTACCCCAGGGTAGTGTGTTGGGTCCGTTGCTAATTTCGATTTTCAGTAATGCCGTCACCCATTTGTATTTCTTGTAATTATCATGTGTATGCTTGACCCCCAAATTTACACTACGACAACTATTGATGCTTTTCCCGAAGCAATTGCACGTCTTAATCATGACCTTTCCAATATTTTGGATTGGTCCAAACGTTATGGCCTTAAATTAAATACTGCTAAAACTCAAGCAATTGCGTTTGGCAGTCGACCTTTACTGGCAAAGCTGAATGATTTTTCATCCATTCACTTAATGCTTGGCGAAGACATTATTCAGCTGTCAGACACGGTTAGAAACCTTGGGGTTGTTATGGATTCTACAATGTCCTGGAAACCTCAAATTCAATCCGTCTGCAGAAAGGTCTATCATTGTTTCCACTCACTAAAAAGTCTCCGTTGCTTCTTTCCTCCCATGATGCGTCGTAATGTTTGCTTTCCCTGATTTTCCCCCATATTGATTATGCTGACACGGCATATCCTGATCTTTCGGTAACACTACGAAATAAACTGCAAAGACTTCAAAACAACTGCATACGGTATATCTTTGATCTCGAGAGATCTCAACACATAACCCCATACCGTAATTATTTGCAGATATTAAGCTGTCAGAACCGTAGATCGTTTCGTATATGAACTATGTTCTTCACAATCAAACCCCGAGGTATATGTATTGTATATTTCAACGCTTGTCGTCGCATGGTTTACCCACTAGATTTCAGTTAGATTCTGTGCTTATGTTCCCGACCCATAGTACCGAGATTTACCATAAATCGTTTGCTGTGCAGGCAATAACCCTTTGGAATAGTCTGCCTACTGAGATCCGTAATATTCCTCACCTTGTAACATTTAAAAACCACCTAAAACGTCATTTATTGGCTCTCCAAGTATCTTCCTGACAACTTTTTTTTCTCCCTTTTCTTCTCTTCTCTTCTTCTTTTATTCCAGCAACTATCATTATGCACCGTTTTTAGTGACTATATGTTTAGCATAGCAGCTTGCCGTTTATTCATAGTTTTTCTTATATAACTTAGTATACTACTGATTGATTGGGTTGTTTGGAAGATATCGCTTACGCGATAAATCGACCCTTTTGCCCGTATTTATGCATTAAGTTAAATGTATACATTTTCTTTAATTTGTATTTTTTGTTTCTTATTATGGCAATAAATTTATTTATTATTATTATACGAAATGAACGCGTTGGAGGAAAGAGCAATTAATATTTACACATAATATATTCATTTATGTAATAATGTTCAAGTTTATGACGAAGTCGGTCTGTTTGATAAAAATTCTAGTCAATTTATGTTCAGATCAATACGAAGTCACTTGTGGTGCTATCTAGCCTAAGCCGAGATAGCTTGCGACCGAGGCGCTACATTGATATTATATTGATACAAAAATTTTTTCCAAAGATTTTTTTTATTAAAGTTTAATCTGATTAAGTGAAGGTCATTAAGCCGAGGCGCTACATCGATGATATACACTCAATGACATAAAAAACGCATCACCTAAAATGATAACCAATTTTAAACGTAGCCCTGATTTAAACCCCATAGAACACATGTGGGATATGCTAGGGAGACGAGTTAGAGTCCTTGGTTTCATTTTGGGTCAGATTTCCCAAAATGAAATTCAAAACCTGATGCGAAGTATGCCTCGAAGGATGAGGGATACCATTCAAGGGGGAAGGAAATACCCATTTTGTTTGATTTACTTGTCACAGTTTAATTAAATTTCATCGCCATCCATGACTTGCTTTAATTTCTGTTGGCGCTGACGAAGAAGCTTCAAAGTGCAGGAAGAATTAGCGTTATTCACCTTTGCTGAAATTGAAGAGCGCCAAAATGGAGAAGGCCCCTACAGAAATATTGGCAAAGGGTAGACCTTTCAAATAAAAAAAATTATTTAAATCGAGTAATATGTTAAAAAGTTATTGCAGTTTGAAACTGGTAATCATTTTAGGTGATACGTTTTTTATGCCGCTGAGTGTAGCTACATTTGAAAATTTGTTGGCAGTGAAAAGATATTGTTAACCTAATCTTGTTATGCAGATAAGACTAAGATAAGATTTTACTGGTTGACTTAATGACATACAAATAGATTGTCTAGAAGAAGTTCTAATATTAAATATGTTTATAGTCAACTTTGAATATAATGAAACTTTTTAACAAATTTTCGACTATAACAAACGAATTTAATTACCCTCAAAAACTCGCTTTTTGCGCAAATGGCTCGATAAAATTTTTCCACTAAAATTGTTTTTCCATTAAAATTGTTTTTTCATTAAAATTTTCTGTCCAATCAAATTAAAGTACTATCATATACTTATTAAGTTATTTTAAACGGACAGGTTTTATTGCATATTTTAATTCTCTCTGCAAAAATAAGGTAACACTTTTAAGTTATTAATGTCTAGTAAAAAATACATTCAGAATGAATGTACGCGCAATTCGGAAGAAATTAGAAAAAAAAACTTGTAGAATAAAAGTTGTAGCAAATTTGATTCAAAACAATATTGCTCTTTTTTTGATAACCTGGGCTAAAAAAATCAATCGATGGCTTGTGAGGCTTTGTGTTTGACTCTAACTAACTAAAACTATATCTGGTAAAAAGGTACTTAAAAAAAGCTTCATAAATAAACGCTGAGTTTGTAAATGAAAACAATCAACTAATTCCACCGGACGAAGTATAAACTTTTAATTTAGGCATGTCGTAGCTTGCCTTGCAAAGCTAAATTATTACCGCCTAGTTTCGCAAGATAAATCACGCTCCAACAGTCTCTGCAAGCTAAGGACGGTGAAGGCACAGCTTTATCGTTTGAAAAAATAATGGCCGGTGAACTTTAAATGTTGCACGAGGTTGGTAAAGAACTAACTTGATTACCTTGGAATTGGAATTCTTTTTGATTTAAAATTTACGGGAATATGAACAAACATATGATGTTTCCTCTACGATATGCTGTAGAGGAATCGATGCTGTATTTACCATCCATTCCATCGACGTTGATATTCCAACAACGTTGACATATCGTTAACAAAATGCTATATGATAGTTCATGTTTACAGCTATGGAATGATTAATGATTTCGATGTAATAAAGCGACCTTTTAAAATCAGTTTATTTATATTTCGTTTTTATCGATGTTTTCAATTTGGTACAGTTCCAAACAAATTTTAAAGTTTATTTTAAACATATTTACAAAAATAACAGCAAACGATACGGTATTAATTAACAAAATAAATGTTTGACTTTATTTAAAAAAAATACCTGGTGAAATGTAATGTTTAAAGTTTCAAACTCTCAGTATTTGATCTTTCAGCTGCCAATACTCCAACTCAACGAGAGGGGCCACTTTGCGTTTGCTTCGAAATTTCAGGAATTTCCTGAAATATCCGTTCGGGGGAATAGAATGTTCTACATTGAGAGACAAACTTATATCTTCAGAGAATTGACGAACGCTTATTAAAGTTTAATGAAAACTATTAAATATTAAAGCGAAATGAAAACTATTAAAGCGAGGATTAAACTATTTAACATTTGGGGGTGAAACGGATTTTTAACTGATTTAAAATATAAAAGGAACGAAAAAAAAACGAAGACTTTAACGAGCTCGGCACAAACGAAGTTATTGAACAATCCTCGAAGAAAGTAACCGAAGCTGTAAGTTTTATATTACAGACTTGAAATACAAAATCTTTTTAAGACGAAATGTAATACCCTTAACGGCTTGAATTAAATGAATTTATACACACGATACCATTAAAAATTCTTTACTAAAAAATATAAAAACGTTAAATAATTCGAATTAATATTGGCGATTTAAAAATCAAACTGAAAATTTAATATTTTAAGTACGAAGGCTTTCACATTAAATTAATGTAAACTAAGTATTTCTAGTTAATTGTTATGCAGCGCTAGACCATGAACTAAAATCACTCGGGTTTAGCCGTCTTAAGAGACGTAAGATTAAACCCAAATGCTTCTACAGTGTGTTAATTAATTATCGTACCCGACGTCATCATTGCAAGTATGCAACCAATATCACAGTATTGGTATTGCACACTGTATGTCGTATTAACACACTGTAGTTCTAATGTAGGTCTAATGTTAGTTCTAGTGACAGTGCAAGTGTAAAACTATACCAAACACTATACCTAGAACTAGAATCTTTTCGCTTTAGCCGTCTTGAATAACAAATAAAAGCAGAACTAACATTAGACCTAGAACTAGAAACATTCGGGTTTAGCCACACGTCTCTAAAGATGGCTAAACCCGAATGATTCTAGTTCTAGGTATAGTGTTAGTTCCAGTTTTACACTTGCACTGGAACTAGAACTAACATTAGACCTAGAACTAGAATCATTTGGCTTTAGCCGTCTTCAGAAACGTGCGGCTAAATGAAAATTATTCTAGTTCTAGATATTGTGAGTAACTTTATTTTAAATGATTCAAATAAATACGAAACAATTAACAAAAAAGTGTAATAAAAAAAATTTAAATTCTATTTAACTTTCAACACTGTTCTACAACGTTGTCAATTTGTGAAATGACTCAGGTAAGCGTGAGACTTCAGGGTTATTTGTGGGTTCGACGCTTGTGTAAACGAATACAAAATAAATAAGTAAATTTTAACAATACTTTCAGTGAAATAATTAATATTTTTTAACTTGTAGTTAATACGAAATAAATTAATTAACCCGTTTTAATAACTGAATTATACGTATTGAAATTGTAATAAAATAACATAACCAAACAAAATAATAACTCAAATTAATCGTATTTAAGGTAAGTGAAATTTGAAATTAAAATTAAAATAAAAACAACGAATAATAACGAAATTGAAAATTATAACTTAGCTTAATCTTGTAGATTACTGAAGTTCTCGGATAAGGAAACTTGGACTCTTCAAAATGAATCGGTAACAAAGATTCTTGATTGGATTGGAATAATTCTTCGGAATGGTATACTGGATTAATTGGATCAGGAACCGGTTAATTTTCTTGTTTATTATTAAAGGTGAATAATTTTAATTCAAATAATCTTCTTATTTAACTTATTAATAATAAGTTTTGAGGTTATGTCACAATGGTGATTGACAGATAACCTTACTTTTGTTTTGATTTTTTTAAATGATCGCGGACAAAATTAACGTGCGCTCTTCGTCACGTTCAAAATCACACTAAAATCTACCAGTTTCGTTTGTTTAATGCTACAACGTTTTAAATAACGTCTTCTGATTGGTTAATTCTTCAACTTGAAATTCCTATATTAAATTTCTCCAGTATGGCCAACTTTGAAATGTCAAATGTCACTAATTAAATTTTATCAAAAATTATTGAACTTTCTATATTAATAATATTTATGTATGAAATGTTGTAGTTTTGTTGCATTAACTTTGTTTGTACTGATTTCGGAACATTTTTTTTTAGATTTCAACGTCCAGCTTCAAAAATACATTCAAATATTTAATCTACGGATTTTCGTCCAATTCTTCATCAAAACTCCCATATGATGGATGGTTTTCGTTCTTGACATGCTAAGATTATCGTTTTCAATAGTTTCAACCCGACAAACATGAATTACAATAAGGAATTAATGAAAAATGAAATTTGAGGTTATGTTACTGTCAAAATTCTACAAAATTACTTCGTATGGATTAAATACAATAAAAAACTAATGAATTTTAACATATTTACAACATTTTATTAATACAAAAAGAAATTTCTATGATTATTATTGGTAACCTCACCCATGATTAATACAATCATGCAAAACTTCTAAAAATAATGAACGATTTGACACTACAACACTGGAACTAGAAAGTATCGGGTTAAATCGTGCGTTTGAAGAAAAGTTCTAGGTCTAGTGTTAGTTCTAGTTTTAATTTAAGTTCTAGTTTTAGTTAAAATTTAATATTTGTATCATCAATGAAAGCAATATCGCCTATAACCAAAACAAGATCAAAGTGAGATTTATCTTTTTGGTATGGTTTTCCAATCAACGAGCTCGTTGCGAAAAACATGGAGTTATTATTCGTTTCAAGTTTACCATCGAACAACAACATCGAGATGCGATATGAACACGAACGAAGGATGATAAAAAATTCATGAAAACCTTAACATTTTCATCAAGTCCGGTTTGTAGCGTACTAAGTATATTCACAACTAGTAATTTACTTTTTAGTAACTTTTAATTTAGTTCAAATACGAATTATCGAAGTCGTTTAAGAGTTTGACCCAGTTTTTGGGAATAGCTAGAAACGGAATTATAAGGGACGATTAGTTTTCATTTTCGTTTGGTTAAGATAACTTTACCATTTAAGGGGATTTCAAGGGATGTAAATCTTGTTTTTAGTGTTAACAAGAAAATTTTGAGGGTTTTATAGTACAAAGTCGATTGAATCAGGTAATTATTCGAATTGAGGGACCGTTTCCAGCCAGGTGACAGTGAAAAGGGCGTTAATTGGCTCATTAAGGGCAATTTCAACCGGCACTAATTAGGCAGGGTTAATTGGAAATCGAGCGATGATCGTAACGGTTCACAGAGTTGTAGTGATTTTTATATAAAAAATAATTTGTTAACACATCAACCTATTAAGGTTGATTAAATAAAAATACTAGCTCTAAAATAATCAACCGTAATTTAAAAAAAAATGGTGGAGGCGCCTACAAAATAAAATTCTAAACGTTAACCGAAATGTTCATTCACGATTTCTTTCAAAATCCATCCTCAAGTTTTAATAACAACTTAATATTAATGCGGTAATCCCACGCGTGGTGGCGTATAACGACGAGGCAAAATGTGTCATTAGCCGGCATGAAAATGAAGAGTGGTTCACGCTACTTGATGTTAATTAAAGAGGGACCTCGACACGACACGCCTCCGGCCGCCTGCAGGAGCCTGTTGATACCAAAAAGTCCTGCGCAATACTGCTGCAAGGTCCAGATCTCCATGACAACGAGGAAAACCTCTACGATTTTCGCGTACTCTATCGGCGAAACGCCCAAACGTTTCGTTGTAACGTTTCAGGGCCTTCCAAAAATCCTGTAAAGTCAAACATGAGTTCACGTTTCGTGCGTTAGAGTACCTCTTAAACGATTTTCTGATTAAAATTTAGGGATTATCAAGTTAAAACGATAAGCGAATTTAAAATACCTGTTGAAGAGGGTGGTTTTAATTATTTCTGATCACGATTCTTTCAAAGGGTAGAATTTAAATTGCAAGATTTAAATTATTCATTAAAAGTTATCGACATTTTTTTGTGTTCTTATAAATTTGTTTAAAGTAATTAATGCTGTTTTAAACACATCTGTGGTTATTATTTTAACACCATCGAGGTTAACTTATCTAGCTGTAAAAGAGGCGAAGAGAGTCTAAATAAGCCCCTTAAGGACGGTAATGAATTCGCCGCTTCGGTCGTAATTTACTTAAGCTTCGCTGCGGTCGAACGATTCAATTATTATATAATTACCGTGTATTTACATTGGATTATAAGTAAATGATAGTTTTAATCAAATACTTTTTACTAAGCTACTATTAACTTACTTTAATTATCAAATTTATGTTTAAAATTATGCAACGTCGCCTTTAATAAATTATAATTCTGAAATTTGAAGGTTCCAAGAAATGNTGTATTTACATTGGATTATAAGTAAATGATAGTTTTAATCAAATACTTTTTACTAAGCTACTATTAACTTACTTTAATTATCAAATTTATGTTTAAAATTATGCAACGTCGCCTTTAATAAATTATAACTCTGAAATTTGAAGGTTTCAAGAAATGATCTTCAAAGTAGTAAATACTAAATAAATTTGCTTCAAATTGCCGTTTATTTTATCACGATATCTCAGTTAGTTTTTGAGATATGTAAAGATTAATTATCGCAATGTTTAAAATTATGCAAGGTTGCGTTCAAAATGTTATAACTCCGAAATTTGAAGATATCAAGAAATTGGTCTTGAAAGTATTAAATACTAAATAAATTTGCTTTAAATGGCCGTTTATTTTATAACGATATCTCAATTAGTTTTTGAGATATGTAAAGATTAATTATCGTAATGTTTAAGATTATGCAAGGTTGCGTTCAAAATGACATAACCCCGAAATTTGAAGATATCAAGAAGTTGGTCTTGAAAGTATTAAATACTAAATAAATTTGCTTTAAATTGCCGTTTATTTCATAACGATAGCTCAATTAGTTTTTGAGATATGTAAAGATTAATTATTGCAATGTTTAAGATTATGCAAGGTTGCGTTCAAAATATCATAACTCCAAAATTTGAAGATATCAGAAAATGGTCTTGAAAGTATTAAATACTAAATAAATTTGCTTCAAATTGCCGTTTATTTTATAACGATATCTCAATTAGTTTTTGAGATATGTAAAGATTAATTATCGTAATGTTTAAGATTATTCAAGGTTGCCTTCAAAATGTCATAACTCCGAAATTTGAAGATATCAAGAAATTGGTCTTGAAAGTATTACATACTAAATAAATTTGCTTCAAATTGCCGTTTATTTCATAACGATATCTCAATTAGTTTTTGAGATATGTAAAGATTAATTATTGCAATGTTTAAGATTATGCAAGGTTGCGTTCAAAACATCATAACTCCAAAATTTGAAGATATCAGAAAATGGTCTTGAAAGTATTAAATACTAAATAAATTTGCTTCAAATTGCCGTTTATTTTATAACGATATCTCAATTAGTTTTTGAGATATGTAAAGATTAATTATCGTAATGTTTAAGATTATTCAAGGTTGCCTTCAAAATGTCATAACTCCGAAATTTGAAGATATCAAGAAATTGGTCTTGAAAGTATTAAATACTAAATAAATTTGCTTTAAGTTGACGTTTATTTCATAACGATATCTGAATTAGTTTTTGAGATATGTAAAGATTAATTATTGCAATGTTTAAGATTATGCAAGGTTGCGTTCAAAATGTCATAACTCCGAAATTTGAAGATATCAAGAAATTGGTCTTGAAAGTATTAAATACTAAATAAATTTGCTTTAAATTGCCGTTTATTTCATAACGATATCTCAATTAGTTTTTGAGATATGTAAAGATTAATTATTGCAATGTTTAAGATTATGCAAGGTTGCGTTCAAAATGTCATAACTCCGAAATTTGAAGATATCAAGAAATTGGTCTTGAAAGTATTAAATACTAAATAAATTTGCTTTAAATGGCCGTTTATTTCATAACGATATCTCAATTAGTTTTTGAGATATGTAAAGATTAATTATTGCAATGTTTAAGATTATGCAAGGTTGCGTTCAAAATATCATAACTCCGAAATTTGAAGATATCAAGAAATTGGTCTTGAAAGTATTAAATACTAAATAAATTTGCTTCAAATTGCCGTTTATTTTATCACGATATCTCAGTTAGTTTTTGAGATATATAAAGATTAATTATTGCAATGTTTAAGATTATGCAAGGTTGCCTTCAAAATATCATAACTCCGAAATATGAAGATATCAGAAAATGGTCTTGAAAGTATTAAATACTAAATAAATTTGCTTCAAATGGCCGTTTATTTCATAACGATGTCTCAATTAGTTTTTGAGATACGTAAAGATTAATTATCGTAACATTTATATTTAAGATTATGTAAGGTTTCGTTTAAAATGTCATAACTACGATATTTGAAGATATCAAGAAATGATCTTGAAAGTATTAAATACCAAATAAATTTGCTTCAAATTGCCGTTTATTTGATAACGATATCTCAATTAGTTTTTGAGATATGTAAAGATTAATTATCGTATTGTTTAAGATTATACAAGGTTGCGTTCAAAATGTCATAACTCCCAAATTTGAAGATATCAAGAAATTGGTCTTGAAAGTATTAAATACTAAATAAATTTGCTTAAAACTGTTATTTATTTTATGGTGATACCTTAATTAGTTTTTGAGATACGATTTTTTTAATATCTGTTCTTAAAGTTTAGAATAATCAAACATACCAAGTTGGATCTAAAAAAACACAACAATTGAAATTAAAAAATTATTTATGCAACATTAAATCTTTATTAAATTTACTTTAAAACGTCTTGTATTTCACCTTTAAATCTCCATTCGTTCTTGAGATATGATTGTTTAAATTCCTAAAATCTGAAACTATTATACATTTTAAGTTGCGTCTAAAGAATAGTAACAATGAAGTTTATGGAAAATAAGAAATCATTTGCAGTACATTTAACCTTCATTAAATTTGCTTTGAAATATTTTGTATTTCATGGTTTTCTCTCAACTCGTTCTTGAGATACGTTACTTTATAATCAAATAGTTGGGTTTTAATAACAACTGTGTTTGTGGAAGTTAAGAAATTTTTATTGTGAATCTGTATTAAATTTGCTTTAAAATGTTGTTAATTTCGTTAATATATCTCAAGAGGTTCTTGAAATACGATGTTTTAGTGAATAGAAATAAATAACTCCACCTCACAGTTTAGCCTAACAACCTTAGGCTAAACTCTGATAATGTTTAGAACAAACAGAATGTAAAAGTGAATAATTATTATCATATTTAATTTCTTTTATGATATATATTATTTTTGATCTAAACGTTTTATCCTTATTATTTATCCTTATTAATATTCCTCCAACACAATTTGATTACATCCCAGAAATAATTAACTTAACTCATTAACGTGCGACTTATCAGATTAAATTA